ATAAAATGTATTATTATTATTAACTGTGTTCTTAAGTGGATGAAGACATACCATAGAGGACTGTAATCCCTGGCACTACAATGGCATATGTACATGGAATTCTGCAGCATAAGCGCAGCAAAAGTTTTGGAATCAAACTCAGGTTCTTGCGTGCGAGCACAGAGCGCATCAGTCATGGCCTTGTGTTCTGGGAATTGCCCAGGCCCCTCAGCGGGATCACAGATGGTGGCCCTGCTGAAACGCTAGATAATCACCCTCCACGCAAAAAAAAAAAAAAAAGTTATGTAATAGGGACTGAAATGAATGGGAATAATAAAATGTGTTCACTAGCAGCATACGGACAACGAGGTGGCTGGTCATGTCATAGACCTCCTCACCCCACAGGCCTTGTATGATCTGCTCGGGGGTACAAAATCCTCTTTCCTCGTCATCGCCCCGGATATTATGATCTCTGAGAGCTCAATTGATTGGTCCATGGGGCCACTGAGAGAAAACCTAATTCATTCAAGTCTAGCTTCAATGAGCGAGATTTTATGCAGTCGAAAAGAACAAAACCCTCAGATTAATACCTTAAGACCATCCCAGTGGTAATAATTAGCATTACTTACCTTTAAACAACAAAAAAATTAAGATTTGTACATCATACAACGCAGTTCGTAAATCATGTAAACCCAATCTCCTTTATAATCTTCAGGGATATCATATTGTGTATCACTGTTTGGTTCTTACCTTCTCTTGGTATTGCCTGCGTGAGGAGTCTAGTGATTGGATCAGAGCTGTAGCGTGGCCCACAAACATGGCGTAGCACGTGGCGCCTACAATCATACTCAGCATGGTGATCCACAGGTCGGACATGCTGACAGGTGCCCTGGCTCCATACCCGATGCACAGCATGTGGCTCATGGCTTTGAAGAGGGCATAGGAATACTGCTTACCCCAGGAAACGTTCTGTAAGGAAAGAGACAGGGAGAGAAAGAGAAAGAGAGAGACGGAGAGGGGATTGGGGGAGTTACTGTGAGGCAAGGCAGGGAGTAAAGGTTTTCCAGCAGGCAAAATGGAAAGACAGGCTTTCCTTTGATGGATCACTGAACCTCTACCAAACATCCTGCCAACATACTCTTTATGCCTCAGAGCCCAATGCCCTCACTGAGTGGCTGAACTTTCTACCTTTCTCTTTTTCACTGAGTCTTCTGCCTTTCAACACCCTGTCTGCTCTCCCTCTGCCTGGACCTACCTGGTCTCATTTATTTTCCCTTTTGCCAAAGGGTAAAAAACTGTTCATGTTTGCAAGTGTGCCAAAGAAAACCCAAACTCGCATTATTTACAGGGTTTATTTCCTTTAAAGCCCAGGGCATCCTTCACTGTGAGGGGAGGACTGGCCTGGATTGTTGCGCCCTCTCTCACATTTGATTTTCTTAAGTGTTGTTATGGGATTCAGTATGTTGGAGGCAAGGAACAGAAAAAATAAAGAGCTGGGAGGGAAGTAACTCTCCTGCGGTCTCCACACTCAGAGCTGACAGTCATGTAACATATCCGCTTGAGTGTATAACAGTCTTCGATAGTTTAAAATGCAGTGAGTCAGTCATGAGCGAATCTTTAGAACAGCTCTTTGTTACAAACGAAGGGAAGCGATTTGCACTGGGTGAGAGTCATTCCTTTTCATCGTTCACGGCATGTGTTCTTCTCACAAAGTGACGTCGCCTCGTGTGCCTTTAACTACACAATAAGATCACACGTTGGGTTCATGAGGCCCCCATTATCCAATAATGTGTCCAGCTGGGTTTATGAGAAGCCATTTCATTGTTGCTCGTCATTACTCAGACTAAGTTGTTCAAAAAGGACCTGATCTGTCACTGCCGAATGGGAAACAACCAGAGACGCAGCCAGACAGAAGTTAATTCTGCCACTAAAGATCAGCTTATATTACTCCTCTTGTCTATCATTAGCTTTTTAGACTGAGGTATTATGAGGCATGGATGGATTATGACAAGATGGACCCCTCAGCATAGATGCCTTAAAGCCCCACTCCCGACACCATCATTGGTGGTCAAGAGTTTTATGGTTTCTTTTAGCAGATTCAGAGGTCCCATATTGTATGTGGACAGTGATAAACTGAACATCTTTTACATAAGTGGTGAGAGAATAAACACTCCTGTGAAGTAGTCATGAAGTTTCTTTATTTTAGGAATCTTAAAGTGAATGGTTTAGGGTTCAGTATGCTTCAAGCAAAGTGCTTGTCAGATCAGCATCTGAAACCCCCGCCTTCCAAACCTTTCTGATGCTGGAATTAGGGGATTATGTCTGACAATTTCTGTAACTTTCTGAAGCAAACAATGCAATAACCACACTCACTTTTTGCAGGGATTATCCAGGTGTGTGGAGGTAAGAAATTAAGCAGGATTAGAACTTCTACATTCAAGCAACTACTTCTGCCTTCCATGACACAATGTCTAAAAATGTGGACCAATATTCCTATATTTAAATGATTATTGCATCTCTCCCCTCTCTATGATGGTAGCTGTTCAGAACAGCCTCAAGCACTTTTGTCTGCAGATGTGGTCAGACAACAAGTCGTACAAATTAGTTACGTTCGAGCACAGCCTGACCTTTGGGCAACTCTTTCAGACTTTTTTTTTTTTTTATGTATAACATTTTTTGGCCGACTTTTTGTCTTTATTTAATAGGACAGCAGGAGAGAAAGTGGGAATGACACACAGGTTGTACTCGAACCCACGGCTGCTGCAGGACTAAACCTTGGGCACATGGGGCACCAGCTCTACCAGGTGAGCTACCAGGGCACCCCAACTTTTTGCTTTTTTACTATGCTATGAGAAACTGACAGAGCCCCCCTCCCCTGATATCACGATATATGGTTTGAAAATGCACCACTTTCTTTACTTGCATTCCAGATTTCTTTTCCCCACTTTTTGTTGGTCTCAGCTTTAGGAGAAGTCATATGTTGGATTCAGAGCACGATTCAGACACCTCATTAATACAGTACACGTCAAATGTGTGCCTTTTGCCCGGAGACACACATAATCTCTAGTGAGCAGCCAAACAAGCCCAACGAGGCTACATCTGTGAAACCCAGTAAGTTCCTATGTGGAGGCAGCTGTGACAGCTCTCCGGTAAAGGCCTTGTAGCCAAAGCCAATTTGCTGACTCCTCCAATAGTTTCACCTCCTGTGAACACAAAATGCTGGGGAAGCGCTCCATACAGAAACGTATCTCACCCTAAACAGAAAAGCTAATGAAAGAAATATGAAACCTCCAGAAGATATAGTTAATCTCCCTCTTTTCCACTGGTTGACATAGTTCCACATACCGCACTGTAATATAGCACATCCCATCATGTCCACATGCTGGTGACTCCTTTTGTCACGCCATTCTGCTCGACTCCATGCCGTTCATCAACTAGGATTTAGTAAATGAGTAAATTTACAGCTAATCATCTGCCCAGAATGACTCACCAATTCTCATCTCCATGCTGATTAGTTGTTTCTTCCAGAGACTGATTAGAACATTTCTGATAATTAAACTTGCCAGAATTAATAACAAATTGAGTCCAGTTTATTTGTCTTGGCAGCTTTGACTTTTTTTTTCTCCAAAGGGTTTAGCTAACAAAATACTGCCTTAAAGTGCCAGTGCCAGAAGAATTACAAAAATTTTTCCCACAATATAAACTGTAATGGAAAGATTTGTAGCTACTGTATGAGAAGAGATATGTTGTATTTTACTGTGGCACAAAAAACACATAGACTGAATAATCTATTTACACACACACACACAGAGCAAACCCACCCAGCCATGTAACTGGAACAAATGCCATTTGTGAGGTCATAGGCCTTAGGTGTCCTTTCACATGTGTTCATTTGGCATGTGTGACTGAGATGGTCGGCGACTGCAGGATGTTTGTGTTGATATATTCGTATGGATGAAAAGGTAGAGAAGTGTATTTTTGCCTGGGCTGACTCACAGCATCTTTTGGTATTTGTCCGTATATGTGTGAGGTGACAGATAAAAACATCCAGAGGTAACACACAACAGGAAAGGTATGCACGGCATAAGCGTGTCACATAATCCAATTGTAGTATAGGAAATATAGGGCTTAGAAATTAACGTCACATCTTGTTGCACTGTATGTCATACTTCTGATGTTTGTTTATATATAGAACATATGATGCCGGTGCTATTCTGGGGAACATTTGTTGACGGTGTTGAGAATGTTTTCATCTACTCCAGTAAATTGCCTGCCTATTTTTTCCAATTAAAGAATGGTTGTTTTTAATTTTGAGACGTTTTTCCTGTACAAGGAATATGTTTTTAAAACTGAACGATTTAAGGAAAACTGTGGTTTTTCTGGCCAATATTGCAATTACTACTACTGTTACTATTTAAATTTAATATTTTTCTCTTTTTATAATCACAAAGGTATCTTGTTTTTACATGAACATAATCAGATAAAGTAATGCATTTGCTGGTAGTAGTTTGTAAAATCAGTCATTCATTAAGAAATTATACAAGTGGTATGTTTAACATTAGTCAATAATATTAAAATATAATAATGACATTCAAAAGTGATGGATCGATAACGGCTGCATGTTGAGTTGTTTGTATTACCGTTAACAGCTCTGAACCGTAGCAGTACGCAATAAAGTTAGCAAAAATTATATAAGTTATAATTATAATGAAAGGCAATTTGAAAATTTCTCCTTCAAATCACAATTTGGTGTAAAAAAAAAAATAAATGATTCAGCCTTTAGCCGAGTGATTGTCAGCTCATTGGTGAACTAACCAATCACTGTCTCTACTGGACTCAACTGTCCTTGGTTCCTTACTCAACAGGTTGTTCTGCCAATATTAGATAGTATTAGACAGAAGATACAAATTACTGTACGAGTCATATTGTAAATGCATTTTAATCTGTTTTAGTACATACATCTTTTTAAGGATTACAAACTGTAGCCCTTCCTTACATAGTAACTGGAGGACAGTAACGCAGCATGGCTAAAAGTTGCGTGTTTGGTAATGCAAAAGGTTATGTGGCATGTTGTAGGGTTCTAAAGACCACAAAATATGGGAGGAGGTAATGGAAAGAAGCAATTCTGTCTCTGATTTCATTTTCAAATATAGTTTTATCTGACATGGACGGAATAGAAAACCCTTGTTAACCAAGTACATTGCAGCAATAGACCTTTTTCACAGCAGACTTTTTGACATGAAATAGTAGGCTAAACACAGATGTTACGATGCTCCATTTCATTTGGTGTAGCAGAGCCTTTCCAATGAGTCAATAGGCACAATAGCAGCTCCCTAACTCTGACCTAAATGTAACAAAACGTTAGTATCACTGGTAACATGGTAACACCTGCGTTTACTCTACTATTTCATGTCAAAACAACTGCTGTGAAAAAGATCTATAACATCTGCTTTATTGTATATTTGATTCCTAGAGTTGGTATTTTTCCTGCTATTACACTAAATGACTCACAGACCAGACGTCTGGTGCAGAAAATTATTATTGTAGCAGTCAATCTTAGGATTTACAGCATTAATCAGGACAGACATAAACATGTATTTTCTCCAGCATGTTAAAAGTGTTAGGAACCACCAAAAATCTCCCAGACTAACAAAATTATTTAACTGTCGTTTCTTGCCATGATGCTGTCTGTCCTTTGGGAAGAGTGAGTCATTTCAGTATTAACACATTTCCACCATAAAATGCAGTTTCTACCTCTTTCCTACTCTCTCTAATCCCCTTGATTTTTAATAAATGTGGCTAACACAGCAGATGTATTCAGTTCATCCAGAGTTCTAATAATAATTAAGCTCTGGATGCAGCAAAACAAGTGACATCAGATACTGCATATTCATCTTTTAGCAGCAACAGCTTGAATTAATACTAATCTCACCCCACGCCATTGTCAAAGTATTCAAATCAACAACTTA